CCCTGGATGCCTTATCTTCAGATCACCTCCCAGTAATCCTAGAGCTGACCTGCCCGAAGGATGAATTCACGACTAGGGCTTGCCGACTCACTAACTGGGTACACTTCCAACAAGACTTAATTTCCAGTACGCCTCCTAGAGTACCCTTGAAAACGGAAGCCAATATTGACTCAGCAGTGACCATACTAAATGATAAAATCTACAACAGCTACTCGAAAAACACAGTTATATCATCCTCTTCATCAAAACAGAACCCCTCGACCAAGGCCTTGATAAAAGAAAAGAATAAAGCTCGTAAGAGATGGCAAGCAACCTGGGATCCAGCCCATAGAGCCATTTATTTAAACCTACAGGGAAAAGTTAACAAAGCCCTCAAATCCGACTCCACCGAGAACTGGAATCAATTCATACACAAGATTGAATCAAGCCCAAAGGACTTCTGGAGAAAAACAAAACCCATCAGGAAAAAAACGGAAAGGATCTCAAGCTTAGTAACGAACGGCAAAACCTTATTGACCGACAAAGAAATCGGAAATGAACTTGCAGAACACTTCTCCAACCAGTTCTCCAAGGAAAAAGAAGACCAACCAAATATAACTTATAATCACCAACAAGAAAAAATGCTCACAATGACGACACCAAATGAAGTCAAAGAAGTGATTAAATACTTAGCTAACCACAAAGCTCCTGGCCATGACAATATCACTCCGCAAATGGCCAAGAATCTTCCCATCAAATGGATTGTATTTCTAGCTGGAGTATTCAACGCCGCACTGCACTTGTGTTACTACCCCAAAGTCTGGAAGCATGCTATCATAATTCCAATTCCAAAAAAATCCGCTAAATCCCCTGAAGATCTAAGACCTATCAGCCTCCTCCCCACCATCGGCAAAATTTACGAAAGAATTATTTTACGTAGACTTCAGATGTACTTGGACAACTCTAACTTCATCATCCCGCAGCAATTCGGATTTAGAAGGGGGCATTCAACAACTCACCAACTCATTGCAGTTCTGGACTACATCCAGATAAGAAGATCCCACAAGGAAGTGGTAGGTGCTGTCTTTCTAGATTTTGCGAAAGCATTTGATAAAGTTTGGCATAATGGCCTTATAAAGAAACTCACAAAACACCAGTTTCCAAGTGACATTATCAATTTTATGCAGAATTATCTACAGGGCAGGACATTTTCAGTCAAGCAAGGAAATTTTATAACTGAACCAAAGCCAATCCAGACTGGAGTACCTCAAGGCTCTATCCTCGGACCCTACCTTTTCAATATTTACATTAATGACATCCCACTGCACTCTAAATGTAAACTTAAGCTCTTCGCAGATGACACAGCAATTTTATTTAACTCTAAATCAGTCAACCTATTGGTTACTCAGCTTCAGAATTACCTAAATGACATAATCAAATGGTGCGATGAGTGGAAACTGGACATTAACCCAACTAAGACTCAAGCAATACTTTTTCCCCCAAGAGATAACAAAAAATTCAAGCCACAAACCAACTTGACAGTAAACTCAAGCACTATTAGTTGGGCCGACCATGCCAAGTATCTTGGTGTCACTTTGGATTCGAAATTAAAATTTAACCTACATGTCCAAAACACCATAAGAAAGGCAAAGATAGCCAAAATATCTCTATCAAGCCTGCTCAATTTTAAAAGTAATTTAACAACAAAGCATAAATTCACGTTGTACAAAACCTGTATTCTACCCATCATCACGTACGCACTACCAGTCTGGGGCAAATATATCACACCTACGGATAAAAAAAGAATAGATGCCTTCATGAGGATTTGCTTACGAACCACTATAGGAGCCCCATTCAATCTTTCAAACAAAATTCTCAAAGAAGATCTCAACCAGCCTAATCTAGAAGAGATTTATCAAGACTCTGCAACAAGACTATTCTCTCAATTTCAAAAATCATCAAATCCAACTATACAAGAAATTGTTCAAAATCAAGGTGACCTCAGCCACCGAATCCGACGACCTGGACCCAATGGCTAGCTGACAGCCAAACACCCAACAACTGCCCTCCTGTAAGGTTCCGGGGGCCACTCCAGCATTACAACTCGCAATGTGTAAATAATCTGGACAAGGTGACTCGCGAGCTGTGCTCGAATGTAACACCTGCAAATTGAGATGAAATAAATAAATAAATAGTTAGTTAGTTAGTTGTGTTATCTTACCGTGACCGGATCAATAAAATCCTCCTGTGTTTCAGTGCCCTCTCATATCTTCCTCCTTTTTCAACACAATGAGCGTTCTGCTTTTTTTTTTTTTTTCAAGTTGCTTGCGTACTTTTTTGAAATATCATTTTATACGATTGTTACTGTTTTTTTTACAAAAGTATTGAGTATGGAGAGGAAAATTTATATTTTTAAGTTACGGTTAGTGCACACAATGCAATTGAAAAAAAAAACTTTACAAAATAAGCGTTTTGTTTGCCTAATTTCCATGTGCTCTTTTATTTTTTTACAGAAAAATATTTACATGCCAGTATTTTTGATTAATTGTTATAAGCCTATTTTTTCCTTATTCTTACTGAGAAGATGAGCATCGCAGTCAAGATCCATCGCAGTCACTCACTCAACTCAGGCAATTTCAAGTGTTAATGCGCCAGGGCGGGTACCTCGGGGGTTGGGTGGAAAAGCTGCTATCTATTTAAACTATATTGATTTTAACAACAAATAAATGGATTGCAAAAAAAAAATAATAACTCATATACATAAACACTAATATAATACAATTTTTGCCAACACACACTTTTTGTCCATGGTTTATGTGTTACTTCTGTATTGCTATTCTATGTCACTTCTACCATCTACTATTGATGTACTTTCAGTACGAAGAAAAATTGCACTCGGGAGAATTCTCGGGCGAAGCCGGGTCATTAGTCTAGTATAAAATAACTATTTATAACAATGGGTATTTATTTCGCACAAAAAAAAATAAAAATATAAACAATTAAATAAAAAAAAAAATTCCCACGCCGGGAATCGAACCCGGGCCTTCTGGGTGAAAGCCAGATATCCTAGCCACTAGACCACGTGGGATTACAGTTATTACAGCATAGTAAAACTTTAAAAATACAATTTCAACGAGAATATTAATAATAATTATCATACCTAGTACACATAGAGCACACATGTCATATAAGACATTAAAAAACAGTCGGTGGCTGGCGGTAAAAGTGTCGGTTTCCGACAGCCATGAACCGGGATCGAATCCCGTATTGTACTTTTTCTGTGAAGAGCCTGTTCATATTTTACATTGTAAATAACATAAGCTAGGTTGTTCTTTTTGAACGGTACCTAATAGAGTTGTTTTGGAACAGGTATAAGACATGATAACCATGTTGGGTAGATAGCGACTGTTTTTACTGCAATTATACGACATGTTTACACAAGTAGAGAGTCGAACTGCTGCATGTGGTGTATTTACAGTAAAAGTAGTCGCCTACTTCTACCCACCATGATTATCATGGCCTGTACCACGTGTACTAGGGGTAAGCAAAAAAAACATGTAGAAAGTAGTTCGATTTTTAAAATAACAAATGTGCCAGAGCCCCATTTGGTTACTTGAACTCACTGGTGGGTTTGGACATTTGAAAGAATCGAGGCTATTGGTTTTTTTTTTCTTCAGAAAAAAAGTGTCCCACGTGAGATACCATCCCGGGGCGGAGGAAAATCGGCAGTCTATAACACCAAAACAAAGCGGTAACAGAACAAACCGACTTCTAATTATGTTACGTTATTTTGACCTAATGGCGGGTTACGATGTTAAGAGTGGCATGCTCGAGCAAAAATAGCATTTTGATCTATTCACCTTTTTTTATAGAATATGATAAACAAAATAATTCTCTGTGGAAATATTCTTTGTGGATATACTCTGGATACCCAGGATTTATCCGTGTGCGTATCTGCCCGAATGTTTATACACTTTGCTTAGAAATAATTTTCATATAACCTAACTTAAAATGCTGATTTTAAGAAATCAGAATATACCCATCTTTTAATTTATTTATTTTCGGATTTTTCGTCTCTCTGTATATACCCTCTTCTACTCGGAGAATCTGTATAAGGCCGAAATGTCTTAATAAAGCTTTTTGTTGTTGTATGGAATATGTATATGCAGAATTTCTATATAGAGATATTCTCTCTTTAAGTGTTTCTTAGAAAACCATCCTATATCTACACTCATGGACAAAACTTGAGGTAAAGTCTTTGATATCGCCGGTCATCTGTTTTTTTTTTTTTTGAAGGAGACAGAGGCTATTTTAATACAAAGCAATAACGCGCCATTTATATAATACAAATGAAAACACTAAAACGCGAATGTTTATTTTCATAAATAAATGAAACTCTACTGTCCTTACTGTGTTTCGCCAGAGGCTATTTTGTTCATACTTTGTTATCTCATGTGTCTTCAATACAGATCACTGTAATATCTTGCAGAGTTATTGTATGAATCCCGATATACATGCTGATAGGTACAACTTGCTTAAGTTCTGTTTATGAGTGTAATTTCTTTTCAGGTAGCGTGTCACTTTCTTGTCGCGCGCTCTCAGAGCTTCTATTTCAGGCACAATCTGTTGATGGGATATTCTAGGGGCTGTTCTAAAATTGTCCATGAACTCCATTCTCGGGGCTTCCTTCTCCCAGTCCCTCTGGCAATACCACTCCGAGACAAGTGGTCCATACATGTCGATCCTCAGTTATTTTCGAAGTCCATATCCTCATCCTCCATCTTTTTCAGAGTTTCTTCGTTACATAGAACAAAAATGTCCATCTCAATACAAAAATGCCATCAAACTACATTTTATTGGGGGGTAGAAGTCCGAAGATACCTCTTAGCGGTCCCCCCTGGACCTGTATTGTAAACGTTCAGCGGCATGATCACGTGATTTTTATATATGATATGAATATCTTTAAAATATTCTCATTGAAATTGTATTTTAAAAGTTATTCTATGATGAGATAATTGTATTCTCACGTGGTCTAGTGGCTAGTATATCTAGCTTTAACCTAGAAGGCCCGGTTTCAATTCCTGGCGTGGGATTTTTTTTTTTCAATCGAATTTATAATATTTTTTGTGTGAAGAGAATATAATATAAACAGTAGAACTATAACTCTCTGTAAAGGAGACCTAATTGCAGAGAGAAAGTGTCCTTTAGGGAAAGTCTCCCCTTTCCAGAGAGTTGCTATATAGTATTATTTTTTTCTTGTGGAAATTGTATTTTAAAAGTTATTATGTGATCAGTTTTTGTAGTCCCACGTGGTCTAGTGGCTAGGATATCTGGCTTTCACCCAGAAGGCCCGGGTTCGATTCCCGGCGTGGGAATTTTTTTTTTTTTTTCAATTGAAGTTATAATTTTTTTTTTTGTGCGAAAAGAATATAATAAATACACAGTAGAACCTCCCTGTAAAGGACACCTAATTGCAGAGCCAGAGTATCTTTTAAGGAGAGGTGTCCTCTTACCAGAGAGTTTCAAAATTATTAAAATGGTAATTTTGCAAATGAAAACTGTACTTTGTGGAGAGGTATCCGCTAGCGGGGTGTCACTTATAAAATAATAGAACCATGATGACCCATTTGATTAAAAAAGATATAAAATACGAAAAAAAGGGCAACTCCCAGGTTTTTAACCGAGTGAATTTTGACCTCAATGTCTTTGTATAAAATGCCGTTTTAAAAGTTAAATATTATTCGCTAAAATTATATTTAGACCCTGCTCCGCCCAGGTTCTACTAGAGTAAACGTTTGCCCTAAAATTATGATTTAATAAATAATATTTTTTGCTGGTTCAAATTCACATAAATAGGTACCGCTCAGCAAGAACAACCTAGTTCATGATAATTGAACAATGAATAATATGTGAAGGTTATTCACATATTAAAACAAAATTTTAACGCGGGATTCAATCCCGGTTCATGACTGTCGCACCCCAGCTATTCCGATTTGGGAAAGTGGTCAGGGTCAGCCATTCCAAAGTGCAATGGAAAGGCCTCTCCTGAGGGCACGGGAATCTTGAGCTCCGTGACACCGATGCCAGGTAAGTATAATATTTTTTTTACACAGTAGTATTGTGCATATCTCTCTATATATAAAAATGAATGTTTGTATGTTTGTTTGTTTGTCTGTCTGTATGTCCGGTATACAAATTCGCAGTAGTTCACTAATTCAACCCAAAATTTCCATACATAGGTAAAAAAATACGGGGAAGACGATAGGCTATTGTAAAAAATATATAAATCAATTATTAAAACTATATATTTTTATTCAGAAAATGATGATGACGATATTCCTGTATCATGTTTGATTATCAGCTACAAAATTATATCGGGAAAAATTCCAAAAAGCAGAGATCACGGGTGAAACCAGTTCATTATTTTGTACGCAGGAACAAAATTCTAACAGAAAAACATTCATTCGAGCAGAAAACAAAAGATAGATCATCTTTCTATAAAAATATCACTTCTCAGACACAAAGTTTGAAGCGGGACGTTTCACAAGAGTGACATCCACGGCGCCAATTTATAATTATAACGAATAGTATTTGAATAAAAAACATTTAATCGGGTAAAACCCTGGCGTTGCCCGGGTCATTCGCTGTCACGGATGCGCGCGCATCATCATTATGATCATTATCTTCTATAGAAGCTTCTATCTTTATAATTATGTATATTTACAAAAAGTCAATTCGCTCGCGCCTCTAGCGGTGAAAATGAGGGGTAATACCAGCTGACCTAATGTACATGTAAAGTTTGGAGCGGGACGTTTCACAAGAGTGACATCCACGGCGCACATTTATAATTGTAACGAATAGTATTTAAATAAAACATTTGGGTAAAACCCGGGCGTTGCCCGGGTCATTCGGCTAGTATCTATATATCTATATCTATATAAAAATGAATGTTTGTATGTTTGTTTGTATGTCCGGTATACAAATTCGCAGTAGTTCACTAATTCAAACCAAAATTTCCATACATAGGTAACAAAATACGGGGAAGACGATAGGCTATTTTAAAAAATAAATAAATCAATTATTAAAACTACTAGACGAATGGCCCGGGCAACGCCCGGGTTTTACCCGAGTGCGTATATATTTTAAAAACGTTTTAATTCAAATACTATTCGTTACAATTATAAATTGGCGCCATGGATGTCACTCTTGTGAAACGTCCCGTTCCAAACTGTGTGTTTTTAAAATGTTTTAATTAAAATACTATTCGTTACAATTATAAATTGGCGCCGTGGATGTCTCTCTTGTGAAACGTCCCGCCCCAAACTGTGTGTGTCTTGAAAATATAAAAATAAAAATGTGAATTTTCATAAAGATTTCATCATGTCGATTTTATTTTTGCATTTCACCTACTAAATCGATAGAGATAATTACATTTGCAACATGAACTTAGGTATATTGACTAAATAGAAAACTGCATAGTAATAAAGATCATTTTTTAAAGGCACCATATCGTTTTTTTTTCAATAAAATCGAAACAAAAATTAACGATAAATAACGATAATTGCCTTAAAAATAAATTGCCTTAAAAAAAAGAAACATTCGCGGTGATTTTGTCTTGCATTCGTTTATACAATTATTATATACGAATGACCGGGGCAACGCCCGGGTTTTACCCGATTAAATGCTTTTATTCAAATACTATTCGTTACAATTATAAATTGGCGCCGTGGATGTCATTCTTGTATAATATATAAATAAGTTTTAAAAATTGTTAAAAAAAAAAATGCATCGGCCGGGAATCGAACCCGGGCCGCCCGCGTGGCAGGCGAGCATTCTACCACTGAACCACCGATGGTTATGAAAAATCCCATCCGTGAGCTTCAGACAGACAAACAAACAGACAGAATAAGGCAAATATATAAGTAGATATATTTTTAGTCAGAAAATGATGATGACGATATTGCTGTATCATGTTTGATTATCAGATACAAAATTATAGCGGGAAAAATTCCAAAAAGCAGAGACCACGGGTGAAACCAGTTCAATATTTTGTACGCAGGAACAAAATTCTAACAGAAAAATATTCATTCAAGCAGAAAACAAAAGCCAGATCATCTTTCTATAAAAATATCGCTTCTCAGACACAAAGTTTGGAGCGGGACGTTTCACAAAAGTGACATCCACGGTGCCAATCTATAATTGTAACGAATTGTATTTGAATAAAAACATTTAATCGGGTAATCGGGTCATTCGGCTAGTTTAATATATTGGAATATATATCATATTCCACACAAAGTTAAATAATTTAAAAATCCCTTCTCTATATATATTTGTCGGCTTTGCATGTCTTCAATACATAAATAATCTGGCTGAAACTTTAACAGGAAGTTAAGTCTGGAAGAGGTTTTGGTCTCATTTTTAGCCAAGAAAATTTGAAATTGATCAAGTTCTGGACAAAAATAGTTATTTTTTAGTCAGAAAATGATGACAATATTGCTATATCTTGTTTGATTATCAGATACGAAATTATTTAGGGGAAAATTACATAGAATAGACCACGGGCGAGGCCACTTCATATTTAGCAGGCAGAAACAAAATTCTAACAGCAAAATATTCACTCGAGAAGACATGAAACCAGATGATTTTGACTGGAGAGGCGACCTTTGTCTCTTTTATATAAAAAATTATAAATAGAGACTGAAATATACACTTTGATCTCAGCGCCAAAAGACTGAGAAGAGATATTTTTATAGAGAGATGATCTGGTTTTGTTTCTGCCTACTAAAAAACTTTGTCTCTTTTAGATCAATATCCTCCCGGTAAAATTTCCATCTACAATTTTTTATATATATATAATTATATATCTTCATAAAAATCCAAAAATCAATTCAGTAGAGAGAAGGATATCTGCTCGGAAAATATCTTTTATCAAATATTCGTTAGACTAACTTTCACTCGAGTAAGACCCGGGCGAAGCCGGCTACATCCGCTAGTATAAAATAAATAACACGGGTTATTATTTTATTTGCACAAAAAAAAATATTATAAATATGAACAATTGAAAAAAAAAAAATTCCCACGCCGGGAATCGAACCCGGGCCTTCTGGGTGAAAGCCAGATATCCTAGCCACTAGACCACGTGGGATTACAGCTAATACAACATAGTATAACTTTTAAAATAAAATTTCAACGAGAATATTAATAATTATTATTATACCTAGTACACACCCAACACACATGTCATATAAGACATTAAAAAACAGTCGGTGGCTGGCGGCTTAAAGCGTCGGTTTCCGACAGCCAGAACCGGGATCAAATCCCGCATTGGACACTTTGTTTGTAAAGAACCTGTTCATATTTTACATTGTAAATAACATAAGCCAGGTTGTTCTTTTTGAACGGTACCTAATAGAGTTGTTTTGGAACAGGTATAAGACATGATAACCATGTTGGGTCGATAGCGACTGTTCTTACAGCAATTATACCACATGTTTACACAAGTAGAGAGTCGAACTGCTGCATGTGGTGCACTTATAGTAAAAGCAGTCGCCTATTTCTACCCACCATGATTATCATGGCCTGTACCACGTGTACTAGAGATAAGCAAAAAAAAACATGTAGAAAGTAGTTCGACTTTTGAAATAACAAGTGTGCCAGAGCCCCATTTGGTTACTTGAACTCACTGGTGGGTTTGAACTTTTGAAAGAATCGAAGCTTTTGTTCTTCAGAAAAAAAAAGTGTCCCATGTGAGATAAAATCCCGGGGCGGTGGAAAATCGGCATCTATAACACCAAAACAAGGCGGTAACAGAACAAACCGACTTCTAATTATGTTATGTTATTTTGACCTAATGGCGGGTTACGATGTTAAGAGTGGCATGCTCGAGCAAAAATAACATTTTGATCTATTCACCTTTTTTAATAGAATATGATAAACAAAATAATTCTCTGTAGAAAATGTTCCTTGTGGATATACTCTGGATACCCAGGATTTATCCGGGTGCGTATCTGCCCGAATGTTTATAATTTGCTTAGAAATAATTTTCATATAACCTAACTTTAAATACTGCTTTTAAGAAATCAGAATATACCCA